CCGCGATCTGGAAGGCCAGCACCGAGGAGTCGACGTCGTGGTAGGATCCGTCGTACAACGTGGTCCTCACGTCCACCACCGGGAAGCCCGCCAGCGACCCGCTGCTCATCATCTCCTCCAGGCCCTGCACCAGGCAGGCAGGAGGGGGAGGCGGGAAGTGAGGGGAGGGAGAGGGCAGCGGGATGGTGCGCCGGCGACGGCAAAGGGGTGCGATGGGCCAGGGGGGCGGGGTGGGTGGGTGGCTGGGGAAGGGGAGGGGAGGCCACGCCGCAGCCCGGCCACGCGGCCACGTGGCCAGCGCCCCTCCACCGATCAAGCACAAAGCAGCAGCGGCAGCGGCACGCGGCCCACAGCCGCTGCGGCCGTGCCGCTGCCGGCCGCTCCCCATAAACCAACAACAAAAACTAAAAACCATATGAACAGGTCCCACCTTGGTGACTCCTGGGATGTACTCCTTCGGCACCACGCCGCCCTTGATCTCCGAGCGGAACTCAAAGCCGGTGCCCGGCTCGCCGGGCTCAAACTTGATGGCCACGTCGGCAAACTGGCCCGACCCGCCGCTCTGCTTCTTGTGCACGTACCGCACCTCGGCGGCGCGGGAGATGCCCTCGCGGTAGTTCACCTGCGGACGGTGGCGGCGGCAGGGCGGGCGTGGTGGGCGAGACGGGTGCGCGCGTGGGCGTGGGCGTGTGGGGGTGCCCACGTGTGTGTACATGTATCATCAGGGTGCGGGATGTGCTCCGCAGGCAGGGGGCGCCTGCCGTGCCTGGGGGCCCATGGTGGCATCCTCCCTTTCCCCCTCTCCCCTCTCCTTCCACCCCGCAGCAGTGGCAGCGACACGCAGCGGCAGCCGCGGCCCGTGCAGGGGCAGGGGCAGAAGCAGCAGCACAACGCGCGGGGCAGGGGAGGCGGCGGCGGCGGCGGCGGCAGGCAGGCGCCCCTTCACACCTGCGGCGCGCCGACGTCGCACTCCACCTTCCACTCCCGCCGCAGCCGGTCCACAATGATCTCCAGGTGCAGCTCGCCCATGCCCTCAATCACAGTCTGGTTGGTCTCCTCCTCGCGGCTGCGGGGCATGCGGAGGAGGGAAGGAGGCGAGGGGTGGATGGGGGGAAAGGGGATGGACAGCAAGGAGGGGCGAGGTGGGCGGGCTG